GTTGTTGTTGTTGTTGTTGAAGCTAAGGTTCAAATTTGACCTCATTGAAATTCTACCAAACAGTCCAGAACCATGCATACATTGTGCCACTAACTGTATTCCTGAGGAGGGAGAGAGAGAGAGAGAGAGAGAGAGAGAGTAGAGGGATATAAAGACTTACGAGAGAGAAGGGAACGTTTGCCGACGTTGGGAGCTCCAACAATGAGGACTCCGGGTCGTTTCTCCAACGATGCACTGACCTCCGGCATTACTTCTTTCTGATCCATTCTTTCTACTAATGTAATCAACTCAGTCTACCCTCTCCCCTTCTGCTTCCCTATGTGTGAACACAAAGCACCACAATCAGCCACAGAAAAGAGACAATGAATCACAACAAACCAGCCAACTTTAGTTATAAGATCATTAAAAAACCAAAATAAGTGCTGACATATTGTGTAAGCATATCAATGATAAACATTAAGGGTATGCTTGGATGGAGGATTGTGGAGGGGAAGCCACCGGGGGCTTAGTTTGAACATTGATAAACAGAATATTTCTAAAAATGAATAAAGAGTGAATGAAGTACTGTAACATTTTACTCGTTCTGTCCGGATTTAGTTGCCTACTTTCTAACAGATCTCAAATGTAAAGAATTGGATGTAAAATACCAAAAAAAAACAAATTACCATGTTCTCATTGATGGAAACAATGCAAAATTGCTAATATGATCTTTAGGGACTATGGAGTATTTTTATAACTCCCAATAAATTTATAATTTGATTATTAAAAATGCTAGGTACTAGGTAGACAAACAGAGCATAACAAAATTAGAAAGTGAGCAACTAGATCCAAACAAAGAGGGGGTATGTTATTTCCATCTGTCTGTATAAATCCTTAAATATGTACTCATATGTTTTACACTTGGCGCTCCAAAACCAAACGCACAAGCAGACCCTAGAGGAATGGTGGGATTTTTTCCAATCATCAAAAAGCCCAACCATACTGGAAGCACAAAACAAACTGAGAGAATCTTAAGTTGCCTAATCCTCTTAAACAACTCACTAATGCAAAAATCAATATTAACAAAAAAAACGCCAACAAATTCACCAAATGGATCATCCATAGAAGGCAATCAAATCAGTGAATCTCCGGGGGAGAAAACGGTTGGAGGACAGGGACACATGTGCACATGTAGGACGCTCCACGTGGCAAATTGTTGGTTGATATGGAATGAGGTCAATGGCCTAGGCCATGGGTGCACAGACTCCGGTAGTGTTAGTGAATTAATTCCGGCATTATGCAAGCTGGGTTATGGGTTTGGAAGAGGTCGGCAGATGTGATTACGGTGAGAGGTCGATCCAGAAATTTTTTCATGGTGTCCCGCAGTAGCCAACCCCACCATAGTGGGATAAGGCTTTGTTGTTTTTGTTGGTATACGTGAAAATGTGTATCCACAGGCCACATGTTGAACATTAGTAAAAGACTGATCCATATAATTACAGGTTACATATAATGTGAATTTTCTGAGATCAATTGAAACTAAATACTCCAAAAGAGCCTCTGTACTTTTAGTGGGGGTAAAGGTTTGCATACACACACCCTCCCCACACCTTTCTTTTGTGGGATTCTACTAGGTTGTTGTTGTTGTTGTAATTGAAACTAAATACTCCGTAGCATTCTTATAGTGCGCATATAAAACACATCTTACAATTGGTGGCCTCTAATTTTCATATTTTAAAAGTGGATGATAATCTATAAATTGCTCTCTTAACCCCAGATGAACTTATAATAATTCGAAATCAAGATTCTCTTCACATAGAATTGGTGATTTATCATAAAATAGGGTTTCGGATTCACCAATGTTCTGCTCTTACAATTTATTTGAAGGCGAAGAAGCTCTCAAATTCGAGTTAGAAAGATCCTCACTTGATTCAAGCTCTTTGAATCTTGGAATCTTTTTAAAATAACTTTGCATCCTAATTTTTTCATCTATCATCACCGATGGAGCCAAAGATTCATTATGGTTTGGCTTTGGGGTATGATAAAATAAAACAAAATGACTTTTTAAATGTTTGCACTTCTTTTAACATTGGAGTAGAAGTTACTCAATGCAACTTTCAACGCTTATCGTGGGTCATATGGAAACAGCTGCTCTATGTATTAAACATATGGTCGGGCTGCTACATCTGACCACTTACAAGCAATGGGCGGGAGCCTTTGAGGCCTTGGGGTGTTCTTGTTGTTCTTTGCATCCTAAATTTAAATAAATAAAAATTAAACATTTTCATTCAATTAAAATTTTAATAATTAAATAAATAAAAAAATTAACTAAACTTTCGTAATGAAAAATGAAAGTTAACCTAATTACAAATTCATAGCTAACAAATTCAAATATCAAAAATCATATGGAGTAATTGATAAATGATAATTGTCTAAAACAATTAAACAAATAAGGAGTATTTACCTTGAAAACACACATACAATTCACTGAATTCACAAACGAGTGTCAAGTAAGAAGCACGTGGAGTATTTACCAGCATAAAAGAACAATGTAATCCGTTGAATAGCCGTTTGGTGGAAGCTAACTGCTGAGGCGACCGGCGTGCTGAATCGATGGGCGGCGCTAAGCGGCGGCGGAGTGCCGGAGCCCGTCTGTTTTTAAAGATCGCGATCCGCGCAGCAATCAGAGGTCGTATAGATGGAGGAGGAAATAGGAAAAACTAATCGAATATTATTTCAATTAGGGGTGAGCATTTGGTTTGGTAAGAGATGTATCTATTTCTATTCCGAAATATCTGTTCGTTATGGTTCGGGATGGTCCGGTATTGGTTTCGGTATAAATCGGGTTGAATATACATACCTACTTACATATTAAAATTTAACAACGCTCTTTTATTTTTGAAAATTAAAAGTAAATTTAAATAAAAAAAACATGAAAAATTTAAAAAAAAATGAATATTTAAATGCAAAAGATGTTATCAAAACTTAGTTTATATTTCACAAACTAAAAAATGAACGACAACAAAAGAGTATTTTGAATCTTTGTGAATACTTTTATGTTCATACACAAAAACTAAAACTCAAATAAAAGTAAAATTTATATATAATAGAACTTGAACCGATTTTTTTTAAAAAAATTACTCCCTCCGTCCTAAAACTTTCTTCCCATAGCACTATTTCAACTTCACGGGAATTTATATTTATTTGTGTTTTTTCATTGCCTATATGATAAAATAAAATATTCTTGTCACCACTTGTTTTGTTGAACTTTTGATGTAGTTTTTAAATATGTAAGTTTTATTTTTTATTTCTATACCAATATTTAAATAAAATAGATTGAAAAAACTTAGGATTTTTCTTCGTTTTGCGCAACTGGAAGAAAGTTTTAGGACGAAAGGAGTATTAATTAGTGAAAGAATATAAAAATATTACTCCGGGTATTATTTTTTATAATATTTTAGTATATATGTTCAGTTCAGGATTTTCGGTATGGGACGTCACCTCGTACCGTTCCCAAATACCGTACCGACTATTCGGTTCGGTTCATTCTCGGTACTTTTTCGCTTCGGTATTCTCGGTTTTTTCGAAGAATTCCGGTATTGCTTCGGTACTTGCTCATCCCTAATTTCGGTATCCTCTTAAAAGTAATATTGGATGTTACGAGTAAAATTAATACTTCCTCAGTCCCAAAATATTTACAACATTTTTTTCAGCAGTCGCGAGAACTTTTTTTTTATTTCTACATTTTCATTCGTTATTTGATAAAATAAAATATTCTTGACATATCTTATTTCGAAGAACTTTTTATGTAGTTTTTTTATATGTAAATTTTATTTTTTATTTCTATGTCAATATGTAAATAAAATGAATTGAAAAATCTTGATATTTTGTCTCAAGAATCTAAGTGTGACAAATATTTAAGGACGAGAAGTATTTAATAAGTAGATTATTAGTAAATATATGTGATATGATAGCTAAATTCAGAATCAATAAAGGTAAAAATGATTTTTAATAAAAATGAGAAAAATTTTTTTGAGACAAACAAAAAAGAAAGTTCTAGTTCTTATTAAAAGAATATTTGTTTAAAAAAAATATTTCTCTTAAAAAAATCTATTCAACTTTTAATTATTTTATATTTTTATATACTCCTTGTTTTTCTTACTACGTACTCCCTCCGTCCTTGAGTGTTTGTCCACTTTCATTTTTGCACACCATGCAATGTACTTCTTTAATCCATTTTATCTTGTAATTTGTATATTAAAAAATTATAAAAATTATATATTAAGAACCTATATGTTAAGACGAATCAAACAAGATTATACAGGACTATTTTTAGGCTTACACATCGAGAGAATTTGATGAGTCAAAGTGCTTATATGAACAGTTCCAAAAGTTAAAAGTGGACAAACACAGGACATTTTATGAAGTCGAAATAAAGAAATGAATTTTGTTTGGGAGAGTATTTACGCGTTCCATTCCATAGCCTTAAATATCGCACACTCCGTCCGAGTGACCACCCAGCGCGTCATTATCTCGGCCGGTATAAATACCGCCGATGAGATAACTTGGCCGACAATCAGAGAAGAATTAGAACCGTAGACAGAGGTGCCGGAGAAGATGAACGGATTTGAGGTCCTCAGCAGCAGCGACGATGGAGTCGTGAAAGGTGATATTGAGGAGGGGACTTTATACCCAAGGCTAGGTCACGGTGAGAACCAGCTGCGATGGGGGTTCATTCGCAAAGTCTACGGTATCCTCGCCGCTCAGATCATCCTCACCACCGTCGTATCAGCCGCTACCGTTCTCTACGCTCCCGTCAACCAGCTTCTCCAGGGAAACTCTGGCCTCCTTTTGTTCGTCGTTTTCCTGCCTTTCATCCGTAAGCCCCCTGCCATACCCTAAGTTAATTTTCTAGAATTTAGTTGACAGCTGACCTACAATGTTGTTAGGAATCATATGAGTTCTGGAATGTGAAAAAAATTGATATAAGTTTTGAAATTTGAGATAGAGTTGTTTGGAGAGATTCGAAGTTAATAAAAAGATGTAAGTTTTGAAATTTGAAATAGAGTTGGCTGGATAGATTCGAAATCATGATTTTGCTTGGAGACGAGTCAGATGATAGTGGTAGCCGCCAGCGGAAGGAGGTCGAAGCCTCGAAGGTTGATAGATGTATCAAATTTCCATATCGATCTTTGATATTCGGTTACACCTTAAGAGGGAGGTGAATTAAAGTGTTTAAAACAATATGAAATAAAACAATGAAGCACAAATGCCCGTGTATAAAAATAATAAAAGCTCAAACTCAAAAGACTAATTAAAAATTATGAACAAGGCTCAAGAACACTCAAAAATAGTATAAGAAGGCTTTAAAATGATATGAGATGTTGTATAAAAAATGAGACTTAGAGGGGGTTTATATAGCATTAAGAAAGGTTAAAAATGCTTAGAATTCGTTAAGAGCCATTGGAGAGTGATTAGGGGGTAATTAAATTCAAAAATGAAATTTTGGAACAGTGTTGTAACGGGTCTGGTACTTGTGCCAGTAGGCAGAAACCGTCTGGTACCCAGGTACAATGTTGTAACGGGTCCCGTACCTGTGCCAGTAGGCAGAAACCGTCTGGTGCCCACGTACCATGGCCACAGTACAGCCTACCGCTAGGGGTACTGCCATATGCTCATTTGGCTCTGGAGGAACCTGGACCTTCTTGGTACCCTGTCCGATCCCATGATACCTCAGGGTACCGTGCAGGCGGTATGTGCCTACCTTTAGCCCTGTGTTCCTTTTTCCTAAACTTGATTTTCGTGTTCCTTTTTCAAAATAATCCTAACTAAGAAGTTGTTTAGCATATTATAAAGATTATTTTAAGTGCAAGGGTATAAGTGAATCATCTAATACTCCCTCCGTCCCTAAATAAACTTCCCCTTTCGTTTTTTCTTTGTCCCCAAATAAACTTCTCTTTTCCCTAAAAAAACCCATTTTACCCTTTACGTTTTCATACCCTACCTATCACATCATACCTTTTTACTAATAATCTACATATCACATCTTACTTTTACACATCACATCAAGGATATTTTTGGAAAGTCAACACCAAAATATCCCTCTCTTAAATCATCAAAAAGTCAAAAGGAGAAGTTTATTTAGGGACGGAGGGAGTATATAATTACACTTACAAATTAAAATACTACGCTCGTAGGAGTGACTTCTTGGTGATGCTAATCAAGTTTAGGAGAGGGTTAGCGTTTGGTTTTGTTATGACGGATGTAAGAAAGATAACAAACAATAAAGAAACGAAAGAACAAACACACACAGATTTAACGTGGTTCACCAACAATATGTTGGCTACGTCCACCTAACAGAAGAGAGGAGAGCTTTTACTGATTGAGGAGAGAGATTACAGAGGGATTTTCTAGGTGACTGATCTATATCTGAATGCCTTACAAAT